TGTCAATGTTTACTCCATGGTCTTTTCCTCCTAATCTCCACTAAAAGGTCCAGGGCCCCAGCATCATTCACTTGACTGCCCAGGATATTATTGAGAATGGAGTATTATATAGTATTTATTGGTGGCTATTGTTTTGGATTGAGCTCCTGCACCAAGCCCAATAGACAAAGCCAAAATGGAGTCACTTATACTGAAGTTCCATACCAGCAAGCCCGAACTTAAGTTGTTTACCTGACTTTCTAAGAACTCAGGAGAGAAATGATAGTCAAATCCCCAAAAAGGCAAATTTTAGCTGATACGATTAGGAAGTGCCCTCTCCATTCACCCTACAAGAAAAATAACTTTGAAACAACCAGTCTACTTTTTGTGCCCTTTCCTTCTTTAGCCCTTTTCTGTCTAGGAAGTCAACCTCCTTTGGTTAGTTCATCAGAGCACTCTTACTGAGGTGCAACTTAAAATGCACAAATCTTAAGTGAGATGTTGCTTGACCCTATGATTAGTCTTTCTCACACTCCTCCTCCAAGCCATCCAAACACCATTTTCATTCACATCTTCAAAATTTAAGAATCTGACCAGTTTTTACCACTTATATCACTACTACATTATCCCAAGCTACCACAGTCTCTCTTATTCTACCATATTTGCTCCTGGTTGGTTTCCCTTCTCCTCCTGCTCTCTCCTCAGGCTCTGCCTCCAGCAGCCAGTGTGACCCACATACCATGTCACCCCCTGCTCAAAACCCTCCAGTTGCTTCCCGTCCCACTTAGAATACAGCCTTCACTGTGGTTTACAAGGTCTTATGAGACTTATTCCCTGGCTACCCGTGCATCTTTATTTTCTACCTTACCCTTCCTCCTTTCCTCTGTCTGTTGTAGTCACATACTAGGTTTCAGGACCATTGTACTTGCTGTTTCTTTTGATTGAAATACTCTTATTTTTTTCTTGAGTGGCTTACACAACATATGTTTATTTCATTACAGTTCTAGAGGACAGAAGGCCAGGGTCAAGGTGCCAACAGGGTTATTTTCTCCTGAGACCTCTCTCCTTGGCTTCCAAGTGGTTCCCCTGCTGAGTTCTCACATAGTCTTTTCTTTGTCCATGCAACACTACTGTGTCTCTTCTTATAAGGATACCAACACTATTGGATTATCTGCTATCCTTCACCCCCATGACCTCATTTAACCTTAAATATCTACTTAAAGGCTCTACCTTTAAGTATACTCACATTGGAGGTTAGGGCATCAACGTATAAATTTTGGGGAGCACAATCCAGTCTATGACATTGGCTTACGTTTTTTTTTTTTCTTTGAGCACTTTATTTTTTGCAGTACAAGGGACCTGAATTCAAGGCCTACACCTTAAAAGCCACTCTACCAGCCCTTTTTTTGTGATAGGTTTTTTTTGAGATAGGGTCTCTCGAACTATTTGCCCAGGCTAGCTTCAAAGCATTATCCTCCTGATCTCTGCCTCCTGAGGAGCTAGGATTACAGGCTAAGCACTTTATTTTTTTTTTTCATTTTTCTTTTATTATTCATATGTGCATACAAGGCTTGGTTCATTTCTCCCCCCGGCCCCACCCCCTCCCTTACACACACGTCCACCCCTCCCGCTCCCCCCCCTCAATACCAGCGAAACTATTTTGCCCTTATCTTAATTTTGTTGTAGAGAGAGTATAAGCAATAATAGGAAAGGAAACAAGGTTTTTGCTGGTTGAGATAAGGATAGCTATACAGGGAGTTGACTCACATTGAATTTCCTGTGTGTGGGTGTTACCTTCTAGGTTAATTCTTTTTGATCTAACCTTTTCTCTAGTACCTGTTCCCCTTTTCCTATTGGCCTCAGTTGCTTTAAGGTATCTGCTTTAGTTTCTCTGCGTTAAGGGCAACAAATGCTAGCTAGTTTTTTAGGTGTCTTACCTATCCTCACCCTCCCTTGTGTGCTCTCGCTTTTATATGTGCTCAAAGTCCAATCCCTTGTTGTGTTTGCCCTTGATCTAATGTCCACATATGAGGGAGAACATACAATTTTTGTTTTTTGAGCCAGGCTAACCTCACTCAGAAAAGATGTTCTCCAATTCCATCCATTTACCGCGAATGATAACATTTCGTTCTTCTTCATGGCTGCATAAAATTCCATTGTGTATAGATACCACATTTTCTTAATCCATTCGTCAGTGCTGGGGCATCTTGGCTGTTTCCATAACTTGGCTATTGTGAATAGTGCCGCAATAAACATGGATGTGCAGGTGCCTCTGGAGTAACAGTCTTTTGGGTATATCCCCAAGAGTGGTATTGCTGGATCAAATGGTAGATCGATGTCCAGCTTTTTAAGTAGCCCCCAAATTTTTTTCCAGAGTGGTTGTACTAGTATACATTCCCACCAACAGTGTAAGAGGGTTCCTTTTTCCCCGCATCCTCGCCAACACCTGTTGTTGGTGGTGTTGCTGATGATGGCTATTCTAACAGGGGTGAGGTGGAATCTTAGTGTGGTTTTAATTTGCATTTCCTTTATTGCTAGAGATGGTGAGCATTTTTTCATGTGTTTTCTGGCCATTTGAATTTCTTCTTTTGAGAAAGTTCTGTTTAGTTCACATGCCCATTTCTTTATTGGTTCATTAGTTTTGGGAGAATTTAGTTTTTTAAGTTCCCTGTATATTCTGGTTATCAGTCCTTTGTCTGATGTATAATTGGCAAATATTTTCTCCCACTCTGTGGGTGTTCTCTTCAGTTTAGAGACCATTTCTTTTGATGAACAGAAGCTTTTTAGTTTATGAGGTCCCATTTATCTATGCTATCTCTTAGTTGCTGTGCTGCTGGGGTTTCATTGAGAAAGTTCTTACCTATACCTACTAACTCCAGAGTATTTCCTACTCTTTCTGTATCAACTTAAGAGTTTGGGGTCTGATATTAAGATCCTTGATCCATTTTGAGTTAATCTTGGTATAGGGTGATATACATGGATCTAGTTTCAGTTTTTTGCAGACTGCTAACCAGTTTTCCCAGCAGTTTTTGTTGAAGAGGCTGCTATTTCTCCATTGTATATTTTAGCTCCTTTGTCAAAGATAAGTTGCTATAGTTGTGTGGCTTCATATCTGGATCCTCTATTCTGTTCCACTGGTCTTCATGTCTGTTTTTGTGCCAGTACCATGCTGTTTTTATGTTATTGCTTTGTAATATAGTTTGAAGTCAGGTATGTGATACCTCCTGCATTGTTCTTTTGACTGAGTATTGCCTTGGCTATTCGTGGCCTCTTGTGTTTCCATATAAATTTCACAGTAGATTTTTCAATCTCTTTAATGAATGTCATTGGAATTTTGATGGAATTGCATTAAACATGTAGATTACTTTTGGAGTATCGACATTTTTACTATGTTGATTCTACCAATCCATGAGCATGGAGATCTCTCCACTTTCTATAGTGCTTCCTCAATCTCTTTCTTCAGAGTGTAATAGTTTTCCTTGTAGAGGTCTTTCACATCGTTTGTTAGGTTTACACCTAGGTATTTGATTTTGTTTGAGGCTATTGTAAATGGAATTGTTTTCATACATTCTTTTTCCGTTTGCTCATTGTTAGTGTATAGAAATGCTAATGATTTTTCTATGTTGATTTTATATCCTGCTACCTTGCTATAGCTATTGATGATGTCTAGAAGCAGGCTAAGCACTTTAAATATATCCTCCAGCTGTCTTCTGAAATTCATGGCTTCAGAAGAGAAATCAGCTGCTAATCTTATTTTGCATCCTTTGTATGAAATACAAATGAAGATGAATCACTTCTCTCTTGCTTTCAAAATTCTATTTGTGTCTTTTGACATAATGTCCCTTGGTATGGATCTATTTTCCCTTAAGAGTTGTTTAAGTTTCTTGAATGTCTGAAACACTCTTGTCCACACAGCTACATGCCTCCATCACTCATTTCACGTGGGTTTCTTCTGAAATAGCAACCTTCAGAGATGTCTTCCTTGATCACTGGCTCTAATTAGCTCCACCACTCCCATTCCTTACTTTGCTTTACTTTCCTTCACAGTACTGATCAGCACCTGGCATTACATTAAATACGTAGTTGTGTTTATTGCCCATCTTTCCAAGAAAACAGGTCTTTGTTTCATTCACTGGAATCCCTACTGCCTGATGCAGTACATAGCCTTAGATAAACATTTGTTAACTGAAAGACTCCATTTAGTTTGTCTAGCTAAATGACCAAGATGTAACAAATATTTGGGTCTTAATCATGCGGTGCTTCATAGATGCTTAGAACTTTAAAGATCTATAAAAATTAGATCTGGATTGTGTCATTTTGGGTGAGTACTAATTAAGGAAGGGAGCAAAGAGCTCCCAGAGTCCTTTAACAGGACTGTGTTCAAGATTTTATCTGAGTGGTAGTTACATAGGCACATAGGTTAGAAGAATTGAGGATTCACTTAAGATTTGTGTATTTTAAGTTGCACCCCCCATAAATTTCTAAAAATGGTTTCTGATTTATCCAGACTTTCCAGTTGGCATGAGTAATGAGAGGACTGCTCAGCCTGCTTTGTGAGCAGTGAGAAAGTCACTCTCCAAGAACCAAGACTGTCATTCCCTGATAAAAGAAAAGGGAAAGGGGCAGGATGCAGCCTGTCGTTCTGACACCAGAAACTTCCCAGAGATCACGGGTCTTCTTCCAGGTCGGGGAGCCACCATTCCTCAGTCTGTGCCCAGCATGAGCGTTCAACTCTGCAGGATGCTGGATGTATCAGAACCAAGCCAGCGCTTCCCAACGAGGAGCCAGGGGCAAGCGCGAGGAATAACGGGACCGTCCTGGTTTAGACTCTTAACCATCTGAGCTGGGGACGTGGCCACAGCGTCCACGTGCGCCACAAGAGGAAACAGCTCCGGATACGTCACACACCCACGGAAGTCGGCCGTCGGGGTGCACCAGCGCGCAGGCGCAGCAGAGCCACCCGCGCAGGCGCACGACGGCCGAGCGCCCGGCAGTGCGGGGACGGACCAGCGCGCGAGCTGGCGGGCGCGCGCCCCGGGAGCGCGGGGAGCTAGGCGCGCGCCATGGAAGAGCGGTTAGCCGAGTTCCGGGCGGCCCGCAAACGGGCTGGACTGGACGCCCAGTCCAGCACTTCAAGCCAGAGAGCACAAGTTTCGGGAGAGAAGGCGGAAGCAGGGGAGACTCCAAAGGCCAACCCAGGCTGGCTAAGACGGTTCCTGGAGTGGAAACCGAGGCCCGTGAATGACCGGGCCGGGCCCAGCCTCGCTCAGGTGAGGAGAGGCCTCGCCCCCGGGACCTGGCTTTAGCGACACCGCCGTGGCCTACCTGGAAACTCCGCCCGTGGCCCCGCCTCCGCCCAGGGAGCATGCCCACCACGTGGTAGTCGTAGGCCCCGCCCCCTCCAGGGAAGGGCACGCCCCTCCACGCGTTCTCCGGGCGGCTCCTTCTGGCCCGGCTGGGCTGCTGGCCTCTCGTTTCCTGCAACACGTGTCAGCAGTGACACGTAGCTTTGACTTTTTCTTTCCAGCCCGCATCTCGTGCAGCTCCAGGTTCCAAGCAGAAAAAGCGAGGGTCTGGAGTCCTCTAAGAAAGCGCATCTGCCCTTGACTTGTTCATAGCGAGTTATCGCTGTGACGCCCTGTGGCTTTGGGAAACCTCCCAAACCTCGCGGAGCCACAGCCCTCTGCTAATGGAGGGTGACAGGTCTAATTGGATACTGATCAAGTGGCAGTAATTAGGGCGTCACGTTATTCGCACCTGGAGCACATGCAGCCAGTAGCCCAGACAGCCTGTGTTTTAGAATTGGGATTTGAATACAAAATTTGTAAAAGTGTGTTAGCTGTAAGTACCAGTGGTGGCATATTCTTTTGGACTAGAGAAGCTTATTCAAGTTCAATAATGAACGATCAAGGTGGGAAAAATATTTGGATCAGTGTGATAGTTGTTTCATCTTTATTTCTTTTGCTAATCTCTTTATTTTGCAGATGAATTTAATTTGGATCTCTTTGTGTCTTCATTTAGTTTTCACTTATGAGGATAATGCAAGGTGACTAGGACTTGTGTGTGGGAATACAGGATTAAAGATACCATGGGCAATTCCTTTTAAAGATAAAAATTGCCAGCTGGCAGAGTGGCTCAGGTGTTAAAGTGCCTGCCTAGCAATCATGAGGGGCCATGAGTTCAAACCCCAGAACTACTAAAAAATAAAAAAAGACTGGTCTTAAAAATTGCCAGGCATGGTAATCCCAGCACTTGAGAGGCTGAGGCAAGAGGTTCCAGACCTGTCTAGGCTACATAACAACAAAATCAAAATGTACTGGAACAGTATACTTTGCTCACCTTAAAAATATTTCCCTTAGGTTCACCATACAATCTAACTGTTTTTTAAATCGGGAAGAACTTATTGTTACTCAGCTTTGATTCAGTATTATTCTCCACAATCTGCAGGGCTCCCACTTAATCGCAGAAAGAGATGGAGGGTGCAGCAGAGTTCAACAATCCATTTCCTTTCGTGCAGTTTGTCTAATTATCTTTGGATCACTGTTGTTGCTGAGAACTCACAGAGCATAATCGCTCAAGATTTTAGAATCCATTTCCCCTACTCCCTTTTCCCCCCTGCAGTCAAAAAACAATGTCTAACCCACACAATGAGCTTTTGACTGTATGTCTCATTTCCAAAGGAATATGAAACATTGAGTTGGACCCAGAGAAGCTGAACTGGAAGAAAGCTTCCATTATTAAAAGCCAATGAATGACCTGACACAAAGATGAGAGGAAATGCCGGGTTGTGGGTTGCTTCTTATGAATTGCTCTTTCTACTTGGCCTTAGGCTTGTTTTCATTGACTCTTACCGGGCTGGTGTAGAAATTTTCATTAAAAAAATTTTTTTTCCAACTTACAATCTATCTCTACTTAATCTTGATGACATACTGTGGCCTGTGATTTCTTTTGTAATTTGTGTGTGTGTGTGTGTGGTACTAGGATTTGAGTTCAGGATTTCATGCTTGTTAGGTAGGTGTTCTACTGCTTAAACCACACCTCAAACCCTCTAATTGCTTCTTGTCAGTAGTTATCGATAAGTAAGTATCACATCCTTCCTTCCCCTCTTCCCAAATTTTGCCTGGAGAAAAGCAGTCCCCTAAAATAAAATACTTAATTCTGTGATGAGGTTCTACTACAGTAAGACAAAAATACTTGTAACTTTTTAATAGCATGCAGGCCTTCTGCCTTGTTCTCCAGCCATGTCACATGCAAGGCCACAGAGCACCAGCCAGTCCCAGGGTCCTTCTCATTCATGCAGCTGGCTCCTCATCTCCCAGCCTTGGCTCAAGCCTGCTTATTGCCTAAATGCTCTCCTTCGGAGTCACCTGTCTAAGCACCACCACTGCTTTGCATCTCACCCCTGTCATTCATCCATTCCATAAGATCCTGTCATGTGCCCACTGCATTTCAGCTTCTGTCCAACTCCTGTGAAACAGCACAGTTAAGGCCAAGTCTGCCTTCAGCAGAATTTGCCTATCAGCTTGGAATGGCAGAGGAATGAGGACAAAATAAGATGATAAATGAAAGGAAATAAAGTAAATAAATAGTACTGTGAGACTAAATTGGGGCTGCTATTTTAAATTGGGCAAGCAGGGAGATCCTCACCAAGGAGGTGACATTTACCAGAATAACCACCCTTGCAGCCATCTAGGAACAAGGCCAAGGGCACAAGTGGTGACATTTTTCTTAGGTTTGGAGGTGATAGCAGGGGAAGGGGGCATTCCTCTCAAAGGGAGCCATAGGTAAACGCTTGAGATGGGAAGTAGCTTCGTATCAGCGAAACAGAAATGGCTGCCATGAACTATGCCCGTGTGCAATGCAATGACCACAGACACTTGTGCACAGAGCTTCTATAGTAGGAGGTGAACCAGTGCTAAACAAATTCCCAATGAGGCAAAAGGTTTCCACTTGTCAGTTTGTTTACATCCTCACTCCCATCTCCCTCTAGCTTTTAACCCTTCCCCCGTCATCCCCCCAAAGGCCCCTAATTAAATAAAAAGGGCTTTGGAGGGGACTATCCTAGGAGCCTAGACCGACCTCATCTCTGCCTATCACTAGCTGTGTCACCTTAAGGAAACCAGTTAACCTCTCAATTTTTCTATGCCAATAAATTGGGAATAATAGTGCTTGCCTCCTGGATTACTGAAAATCAAGCATTTTGGAGGCACGCAGTAAATGGTGATACATAAGTGTTGTTCTACCTGTACTTCTTGAATAATAAAATGAATTCCACATACTATGAATTTAAATTCATATCATCCGAAAGGTATTCTATCCATCAGTCCATCATTTCTCTCCATTTCCATCCTGTTAATGCCTGGTCCTCTCATGCCAGCCCTCCTGGACTAGCAGTGTCCCTAATTCTGCTCTTGCTCCTTTGCTACTCTCTCTCTACATGACAGACAGTAGTTGTAAATGTAAATAGGATTATGTTAGTTCCCTGCTAAAACCTTTCAGAGGTTTCTCTTTTCCAGGATCTAAGAGGCCTTGCTGGCAGTAGATAGTCTGCCTCTTGCTCCATCCCTCTTGATCAGGACACTGCAGTCACCCTGTCTGTCTTGTTTCTAGACAAACCAAACATTTTCTATGCAATGCATTCCTCTTCTTGGGTGAGAGGTATTGTGCCCACAGGTAGATGTTCAAAGGGACATTTTTTTCTTTAATAAATGTCGGGACAGGGATGTGTTGCTGATTATAAGTTTACAGCTTGTCCATTCAGACTTTCCAATCTGATTGAAAAAATAATAAGTACAAAAAAAAGTCCTAACAAAATAGAGTGTCTGTAGCACTATAAATTAGCTGACCAGTGCTTTTTATGGAGATCAGTATTTGTGGTTTCCTTTAAACTATTCATATGAAGAAGAATAAGGAATATTACTGAAAAACTGAGCTAAAGTTGTGCTCTGTGTCGAGAATCTACGTGTGGGATGTTGTGTTTGACTCTAAAAGACATGACAGTTCATGGCCGTTGTGATGGGTATGAACAACTGAGGGATACATGTCTAATAATTAAAAGACACTTCAGTGCTAAACAGTTTGGTGCTCAACAGAAGATTAGTCTCCAGGAGGCAGAGGGCGCCCCCTGAAGACTAAGGAGGACAGGGCCGCCTGGCTTACACAGGGCTCTGGCCTGGAAGGAAGGCTAGCGGGGAAAGCAGAGGAACTGCAGGCAATTCCAGGCCTCAGAATGTCTTTGGGTCACAGCACCAGATAGAGGGATCATTTATGGAGCAATAGAGTGTGGATGGTGTTATAGGAAAGTTTTAGGTTGTTGTTTTTCAAGCTACAAGTCATGATCCCCTAGTGGATAAGAAAATCAACATAGAGGATTCTTCCCCTGTTGAAACTGTTTAAACTGGGCATGATGGTATACACCTATAATCCCAGCACTTTGGAGGCTGAACAGGAGGAGCACAAGTTTCAGACCAGCCTGAGCCATATATATATGATATGTGTATGTATGAGTGTATATATATATATATATATATATATAGAGAGAGAGAGAGAGAGAGAGAGAGCGAGCTTCTTGGGGAGGGTATGTGCTAACTTGTGGCAATTTTGTTTATACCTTGCACATAGGTCTGCTGAGTCACAGTATAAATGTATTTGTTTTCTTTCTCTCTTTTTTTTTTTTTTTTGGCAGTATTGGGGATTAAACTCCAGGCCTGGCACTTACTAGGCACGTGCTGTGTCACTTGAACCACTCCTTCAGTCCTTTTTGCTTTCAGTTTGTTTTTTTAGGTAGAATTTCTCACTTTTCCCCTGGGGCCAGCCTCAGACTGAAGTCCTCCTACCTGCACTTCTGGATTTTAGGCATAAGCCACCACACCCAGCCTTAAAATGTATCTTTTATTGTGGGTCGTGCCCCCCAAAGTTGGGAAAATAGAGATGAAGCTTCCCTAAAGCCACCTATGCACCCACGTCTCCCATTAGCATCCTGCATGGGCCCGTGTACTGGTGTCTCTGCTGAATAAACAGAGGGCTTTAGCTTCTAGTCCCAGAGGTTTGGATTTTAACTTGTGGACAGCAGAAATTTGTTGGAGATTTGTGGATAGGGTACAGGGATGATTTAGAAAATTCATTTGGTGGTTGTACATGCGCTGGTTTGGGGAGGGAAGAGATAGGAGGTGGAGAGTCTAGTGAGGAGACTTTGCCCTGGCCTTGGGATGAGTGGCAAGGTCCAGAGCAGAACAGTTATGGGTGGAGTATAATGGCCATAATGGCCGGTAATGGCCACAGCAGTGATATTTTAATACATGAGAGGGACTTTTGCTTCCTGTTTGTGGAATGGTCCCCATTTTAGAATCAAGTCACTCACAATATTTTAACTTATCTAATCAAATCAGCAGACATATGTTGACTGAGACTGTATGGCAGGCAAACGTTGTGACTGCTGCATTAGCAATTACTGGGCAGATTCTGTGTAGGGAACAAATTAGCTTTTGTTAGCAGCAGACTGATCTGAAGAAATGACTCCCATGAATGGGAGCCCATCTGAATGCTGTAAGGTTTTTATTGGGTCACATCCTGCTAAGTGCTGATCAGATTCGCTTGGAGCAGGGCACACAGCTCTCTGGTGATGATTGTTTTAGAGAGGAGGGTAAGAACGTAGAAATCAATGAGCTGACAGCCTTCCTGGAGCAGTGAGAACTGCTTCTTCAGATTCACTTTGCCCTTTATTCTTTCTTTTGTTTGCTATGTGTCCTAGGGAGCCACTCAGCCTGGGAGCAGCGCATCACAGACCACGGGGACCACAGGGAGCACAGCCATTCTTCCACCTTCATCCTGTGGCCAGTCTTTCCTGATCAACACCACCTTCTTGAAAGTTCTTCTCTGGTTGGTCCTGCTAGGACTGTTTGTGGAACTGGAATTTGGCCTGGCTTATTTTGTCCTGTCTTTGTTCTACTGGATGTATGTAGGAATGCGAGGCCCTGAGGAGAAGAAGAAGGGAGAGAAGAGCGCCTACTCTGTGTTCAACCCAGGCTGTGAGGCCATCCAGGGCACCCTGACTGCAGAGCAGTTGGAGCGCGAGTTACAGCTTAGGCCCATGGAGGGGAGGTAGGACTGCGCTCATTTGTAACGCAGCCCACCCTCAGCCTGTCCTCCTCGCCCTTGAGCGTGGACTTGACTTCAGGTACACAGAACTAAGGACCACTTACAGGCTGGCTCTGTGACCGCGGGGTTCTCCTCCCCTTTTTCCCTGATCTGCTGCAGTTTCATCTTTGGTGTTCTCTTTGGCTTTGGTGAAATTCTCTAAAAGACACTCACTGTGGGGCTGACAGGACTTTAAAAAGTTACTGCTCAAGAAAGGAGGTCTCTGTGCCTTATTTGAGAGCGATTTTAGATGGCTAGGGAGGCACTGGTAGATTCTCTGTCTAAAATTCCCACCCATTTGAAGAATGATCAGGTACATCAGGGCTGTGTATTAAATGTGAATGTTCTCCTTAAGTCTTTTGATATTGATAGTATTTTTTTCCTGAAAAGTTTAAGTTGTAAGTTTTGATGGGGATGGGGGTTATTTGTTTTTGTTTGCTTTCTGCTTTGATTCTTGCTTTTTCAGTCACTAATGATATTGGAGTAAAAAAGATTTTTATTTTTATTTTTTTATACAATCACCCATGGTAAAATGTCTTTTAAACATCTCCCTTTTAGAAACTGTCTGTCACTCACTGCCATTACCTTCCGTTCTCCTATGGATTCTGTCCCCAGTTGGTAAAGGAAAATGAGACAAAGTCCTTTGTGACAGGACAGTCAACACTGGAGATCTGATAAATGGTTATTGATGATAAATTCAGCAAGAGAAGTTCTGAATGTGTACAGGGAAGGGCTGAGAGTAGAAGTGCAGACTCACTGGGTGAGTGGGTTTTTTCCTACTTTCTAAGGGCTATAGTCAGCCATCCTTCACTTGTAGGCTTTAGGGAGAAATCATGTAGGCAGGGACCATCAGGCCTGATTTCAGTGATGCCTCTTATTCCTGTGTAATGTTGGAGTTTGGATTCATTGAAATCGGGCAACACAAACCCTCACATATTTTTCTATGGATCATACTGATGAGTAAAAAGACTAGTTTTAAAGCAATATTTTGTCTAAACTTTTTATATTATGAAAGTCACTCTAAAGTTTATAAAACATTGTTAAGAAATAGAGGTCTGTGGATAATTTTTTTGGCCTGGTTTACCAATTAAAGCAAATTCTTAGTTTAATTATCTCTTATTTATTGCATGCCAACCCCTCACTAGGCACTTGGGATGTGATAATGTGATAATGAAGAAACCAGACATATTGCTGGTTGTTGGAGCAGACAGTCTAGCTGGAAGTGGGGTGATAGTTCCATCCTATGGCTGAGGAGCCCTGTGTGCCTCAGCCCAGTTGAACATTCGTCCAGCCCTTTGCTGATTGAAAGTCTTGTTGACTCTCTTTGTCACCCAGGTGAGCAGAGGTCCCTCTAGCTCACAGAGAAGTCTTTTCTCTAAGAATATCTGTTTGAACCCAGCCTGTAAGAAGTATGGGAAACAGATGAATCCCTATGAAACAAGAAAGTTCTGATTGGATTTAAGATGTGATTTTGTTTTATGATTTATTTTAAGTATTTATTGTTTTGATATTTTACTTTGGCCTCTCTGTTTCTTAAAAGCCCAGTACAAGGGAGAAATCTCTCTAAGTGAAGCTCTACTTCAATGCCAGACCAATAACCATGGTCATAGGAGAAAATTTAGATTTTAAAATTGTACAATTCAAGTTTTCCCCTAGAATAAATGTAACACTCCATTATGGGGTTTGATCCATTTGATTATCCCAATAAGTTAGGGATTTCTCTTAATCATACAGGAGACCCAACTTACAAGGGACCTCACTAGCATTCTTTGAAAATGTGCCTGTTTAGAATGGGGTGGAGACCAGATTGCCTTAAGCACATCTTCCCAAAGAGGTGATATGGCATAGCCTTCTAGGAAAAGGGGAGTGTGAACCTATTACATGCCTGGAAGGAAGAAGAGAGGACAGTGTGTATTTGTTGTTCTCATCAGACCATTAAGCTTTAGGTGCAGTCTCGATTCCAAATTTAGGTCTGTTGATCTCAGAATTTCCACTCAGGACCTAACCATTAGCCTAAAGTGAGGGTTCCATTAAAGGCTTCTTCTGTCATCAGGGAAAGAAGTCATGCAGTTCTGTGGGAGCTGTAGGCATGAGAGACGTCGTTTTTCTCCAGGTCTGACCAGAAGATTGGTTTTTGCTCTTGCTCATGGTATCCCATCTTGTCTGTTCCTAGGGACTGTTAAACAAGTCTCTGGAAGGGACCCTAAAATGACCTCACCTTGGGTAGGGCCACATTTAGTACTGACTAAAGATTGTTTGTTTCTAGTGATCCCTGAAGAAGAATCTCTCAGGAAGTTCTCTCTGGAACTTTTGTCACCCTGGGGCATTTTTTTCTTTTTCTGATCTCAGTTGGCTTGGAGCACCTGGAGATCCTGGGGACCTTCCAGACTGGTAGACAACTGCTCAGGGCTGTCTTAGCCCTGTCTGTTCTTCAGGCCGAGTCACCTTAACTGTATCTCTGGGACACAGTCAAGCTGTGCCCTTCCTTTTTTTCCTTTATAAAAAAATCTTACTGTTTGGTAGCCCCAGCCCCTTTTGAGGGTTTTGGGTAGGGCAGAAGCAAATGTCCCTATTAGTACCTGCAATGACCTTTCTCAAAAGCTTTGGAGTTTTACCAATGATGACTTAGAAGTAAATGTTTTTTTTGCTACTAGGATTATACTTTGACTATAGGAGATCCCCCACATTTGCCTTTTGATTGATCTGCGTAGTAAGATTAGGTTCATAGCTCTATGCTTGAAGTTAGGAATTTACACAATTGGACTAGCCAGTGACTTTCTGGTGGGCAAAGAGTAAAATGTAAACTTTGTGTTTTTGGCTGTTGCCACCCACACCAGTAAATGTTTGTCAGCGCACTGGGCTTGGTGCTGATGAGCCCCTGCTTGGCCCAAGTGTCAGTAAGATCCAGTTGGATGCAGGGTGGGGCTGAGATGCCATAGAGCATCTGGCCACCAGGGGGTAGCATAGAGCTTCTGCAACACAACATGGGTCCCTCACATCACAGTTGGTAATCCATGTCACATGGAAAACCCACTGAGATGTGTATCCAAACCACTTGCACTGCTTTTTCAGGCTTTATTTTCACTTTTAAGATTCATAGAGGAAAGGGCTCCTCAGAGGTCCTGGGAAAGGCATAAAAAGCTACCAGAAGTGATTTATTCACATTTCAAAATAAAACAACAGCCCCGCTCTAGATTTAGCAGGCAAAATTGTGGTTCCTTGCCCACATCTGAGCTTTGAGAGGGTTGGGGGTGGAGCTGACTGGGAATTTATATACCTGGCAGAGAAAAATGGTCCTTAAATCAAATAAAGTGAAATTTGAACTAAATGCTTTGGCTTCTATGTCACATACTTTTATTTTGCAACATTGGAACATTTGGGCTAGATAAAGACTTGGATCTCATTCTCAAAATGCTGAGAGAAAAAGCTGAGTACACAAGAGCCATGTCATAAGGTTTAGGTCATAATGTGAGTATTTATAAAGACGTGTGTGCTGGGGAAGAAGTCATCAAAGGGAGAGATCACTTTCAGTTCTAAATTCTATTCACTGGTTCCCCCTTAGTCACAGGTAATACATTCCAAGACCCCCCAGTGGAAGCCTAAAACCACGGTTACTACTGTATCCTGTATAAACTCTTCTTTCCTATATCTGTAATATGTTTAATTCTGAGGCACAGATTCTAATAATCAAATAGAACAAATATAACAGTATACTGCAATGAAAGTTACTTAAAACTTATAAATTGTTTCTAGAATTTTCCATTTAATCCATTCAGTCCTCTGTTAACCACATGAGTAACTGAAACTGTGGCAAGCAAAACCAGAATTAAAGGGGAACTACTCTATTATGTAGGATCTTCACTTAAAAATTCTGTTTCTTTAGCAAGTCATGGATGGAGGTTTTGAAAAGCAGCCTATGGACTACCCCTTTGCAGAGAAATCTCTCATAGTCATGTTGAAATGCAGACTTCATCAGACAGACTGACTCAATATGGGCTAGACCCCAGAGGGTCTAACACCCTAACAGCCTCCAAGGTGTGACCTCTGAGAGCCCCGGCTGTAACTCAAGTGTTGAAACAGGAAGCTGGTTTAGTGATGATTAGATTCAAACAAAGAAAGATGGGGTGTGTTCTTACAGGGGGCAGCAAGTTCGTCATTTTTCAAATTTTTCATTTAGAACACCAAAGCTAGAGAACAACAGCCTTAACAAGCAGTTAACTCCAAAGACTATAATTAAAGGTGCTTTGTCTTATTTTTGAAGTTTTCCATTTTAGAACATTTTGGAAATACAGAAAAGAATAAGGTATTTCACTTTTGTACTTGTGCACATATATTTCAGAAATCAAGAGGTAGACAGGCTGCATAGTGAGAGTAAAAGTGAAGGCTACTTTGTGTTCCCTTTTTCTTTTTTAAGCTCAGAAACCATAGCGTCCTGTAACAATCCTGCTCTCCCTCCCTCCCTTCCCACCCACCTTCCTCCCCTTCCTCCCCCACCTCACTCTTTCCTTCCTTCCTCCCTCCCTCCCTCCCTCTCTTTCTTCCTCCTGTTTATGTAAGGGAATGAGGTGATCCGATTTTCACTTAAAAGCTCTCCCAGGCTCTAGTTGGGAGTGGGCTTTGTGTCTTTCATCCCCCATCCATCTCTGTCCTCACAGATTATTTGCCAGGCTGGTGCTGGGCTCAAAGCTTACAGAGATAGTGTAGTGAGCTCCCTTCCTTCAAGAGCTCACAGGCAAATACAGGAGGCAGCCAGGAATCAGACCACTGCAGTGCCTTACACTGTTAGTGTGACATCTAAGGCCAGAGCTTAAGCAACACTTGGAGGCCCAGGGAGGCTCCCTGGAGGCAGTGACATTGTGCTGAGTGTGAAGAGGGACTGGTACTCCTCAGAAGACAAGGTGGGGGGGAAGGAAGTAGCCTTTCTCACAGGAAGAAACTGCCTGTGAGAAAGGTGGTAGTCATGAAGGAGAAAACTGACCCATTCCAGGACTTGAATATTAAGAAAAAAATGAAAGGAACTGGTGAGAGGCAACTCCAGAAAGGAATATCAAATGTCTCTCGCTTCCTTCCCTCCTCTCCCTTCCCTTCCCTCCCCTCCCCTCTCTCTTCCCCTCTGTCTCTTTACCTCCCCTCCCAGCCTCTGACTGGGATCTTCCTACTTTTGCCTCCCAGTGGCTGGGATAACAGACTTGGACCACCATGCCCAGCTTGTTTGTAGAGATAAGGTGTCTCTAACTCCCCCCATTCAAACTTCAGTCCTCATGATCTCCACCTCCCAAGTGACTGAGATTACAGAAGTGAGCCACCACACCCAACACCAGCCCCTATTTAAATGGACATTTAGGTTGTTTCTAGTCTTTTGCTGTTGCAAGCAATGTACACTGACTAACCTTGCACCTATGTCACTTTCACACATGTGAGTGTAGCTCGTGATAATTTCTTAGATTTGCCAGGTCAAAGAATATATGACTTAAAATACTGATAAATATCACCCTGCGTGGAAGTGAGTGGTCTTTATGTCCCTCTCAACTGTGTGTCATCCCACCTTCTGTTGTTTGGCAGTCTGATAGGTGAGAAATGAACATCTTTCTATAAACGTCTATGGGTGAACATCTTTCTATAAACATAAGAACCATTTGTTCATAAGAACATGGCATTTATGAACCATTTCATCCTTTGCTGATTTCCACTAAGTTTGTTGGAAGTTTGTGAATTTCTTTTGGAACTCTTTATAAATGAAGAAAATTGGCTCTTTGAGTTATGAGTTTTGAATCTTTTTGCTCAATGTGTTACACAATTTGTTTTTGTTTCTATGTGGAAATTTTTGTCAAATTTATGCATTTAATTTTTGACTTCAAACAGCAAAAAAAAATTTTCCATGTGCACTTAGTACTTTCATGTTCTATATTTAGGGTTTTTTATCTGCCTGGTATTTATTTTGGAGTAGGGTTACAGGTGCGGATCCAATGTTCTTTGTTCAGGTATCTTAGCATCGTTTACTGAATAACCCATCTCTTCCCTGCTCATTTAAAAGCCATCTGTATCATATGCTACATTTCTTGTGTATTTGTATCTGCTTTTGGGCTTTCTGAACTGTTCTATTGCTCTGTTTTTTCCACATTCTATACTTCATTTATAAAAATTATTGTAGCATAATAGAGCATTTTAAAATCTAGATGGGCTAGATACCTCTTTATTACTGTTATTTTTCAGTTTCCTTTTTTTTTTTCCAAAATATGTTCTTGCATGTTTGTTTTTTTCCATATGGACTTTAGAATTAGCTTGACCAGGTCCCCCAAATTTCTGTTGGGCTATTTATTGGTTTTATATTAAATTTACAAATAACTTAATGAGAAGCAAATGTTTAAGTTCTTATTTGACTGTTCAAGAGTAAGGTATGGCTAACATTTGCTTATACCTCTATTACTCCTCAATTGCATATTTAAGTTCGCTTAGTATTGATTTTACTACTCCTGTGTATTTCTGGTTATTTTATCCTTCTTTTACTATAAATAAAATAGGAGTTTTTTTCTATTATTTCTTCCAAATAGTTATGTGTATATGTTTGTATGTATGAAAGCTATTGATTTGGGTTTATTAATTTTGTATGTGCCATTTATTGAAATTCTGTTACTAATTTTAATGGTTTTTCAGTTGATTTTTCTGGAATTTCCAAATAGGGAATGATTTCCTTTTCAAATAGTGTAAAATTTTCTCTTTCTTTCCCCAATTTCTATACCTTTTGTTTTCTTCTTTGTCTAGTTTCATTGGCTAAAACATCCAAATGTTAAGTCAGAAAATAGTGGTATATCTTTGTCTTGTTCTTAAATTTTATGAGCATGTGTCAGTATTTTCCCATTAAGTCCGACTCTGACATTGGGTAAGTAGATGGATAGACAAATACAATCCTAAAGGGTTATCCATCCCTGCAATGTGTTATTAGAAGCCATTTTCCCTTAAGAATGGATGCTGAATTTCACAAAATCCCCTCTCAGTGTAATGGAGATTAATCATACGATTTTTCTCTGTGATCAATTAATATAATCAATTATGTAAAAGAGTCACTCATGCTGCATCATTCTCTTATTCTTGAAATAAACCATCCTTGATTACAATTTATTATTCTTTATGGTGCTAATTCTGTTTGTTAATGTTCTTATTTATATTTTTACTAATGATTTTTATGAGATACAGTTTTTTGGAACTTTTTAAACTTTCAGAATATATAAAAACATATTATTAGATCGTCATTGCAGAAGGTCTCTTTTATCATTATGAAAATCTCTCTCTGTTTCCTTCATTGTGTTTTGCTCTGAATTCATCCTTATCTGATATTAAAATCAGGATCCCTGCTTAGCTTTTGTTGGCCTTTGCCTAATATGCCTCTGTCCGTACTTTAGCTTTCAGCCAGAGTTATTTTTATTAGGCATGCTGCCTATATATAGAAAACAGTTGCATTTTGTTTTATAATTTATTATTGTTTTGTTTTCTTTTTTATGTGTGTTTCTCCTCCTTATCCTTGCTATGTAGCCAGATTTCTTCCTCCTCCTCCTCCTGGCTATGTCACCCAGGCTGGTCTTGAACTCTCAGTCCTTCCTCAGCCTCCTGAGCACTGCGATTATAGGCATGCACCATCATGCTCGGCTTGTGTGTGTGTTTATTGTGATAATTTGGAAAGTTTAAATTTTTGTTCCAAAATTATCTCTTTAATTTCTTATTAACTACTTAATCCTTCATATTTTAAAGTAGCATTTATTAACACCCTATAAAAATGAGTATTAAGTTTTTGTTTCCATAGTCTTCCTACTTCTCTGCATTTGTCAACCCCCAATTCCATTTACTTGACTAACTGCCTTTTACCTCCTATTCCACTTCCTTTCCTCATTTAATTAGTTATAGCCTTGCTAATATAAGTTTATAATCTACATTCTGTTCCTTAATCATACCTGCTTTCGTTTTAGTCTTAGTCCTGTCTATCACTGATTTCTTAACATAAAGGTAAACTGAATATATTCTCGTTATTCTTTTGCAATATTGACTTTCACAACTACACCACAATTTTGCATGGATAAATGTACCAGCATTTATTTAGCCAATTCCCTATTATTAAACATTAAGTTGTATCTGATTTTCACTAGTATGAATAGTATAAATCAGGCTAACCTCTTTGAAATTTAAAACTCCTTTCCATTGCTTGGAAAAGAGAAGCCAATGCCTGCTGGAACAGTGATCTCAAACTTGAATGATCAAATCCCCTGGGCATCTTGTTAAAATGCATATTCTATTGGGTGACAGATTGAGATTCTGTTTTTCAAACACGCTCTAAAAGTGATGCAGATGCTGCTGGTCTTTGGACCACACTTTTGTCAGTAAGGTCTTTGAGTACATTTTGTCTCTGGGGAATCTTACATGAATGAAAAAATTCCAGCAGACATC